CACATCACCCATGCTGAGTAACGCGGTCAGCTGACTGGACAACTGGGCCAACGACAGGGCCCAGGGCTCCCCTCAGTGAGGGCGGCAGGGCTGGTAAGAGTAGCTGCCCTCAGTTCTGAGGGGCAGGGAGGTGAGGTACAGGCTGCCCAGGCCCCCGCCGCCCCCCTTAGCCTGTCTCTGGGTGCTTGGTGCAGCTGCCCCCAGCACGCTGGCTCCCAGACCGGAGTCTGACAGCTGCTTGGCCCAGGATCATCTCCAAATAAGTGAGAACGTGGGTGTTTGGGAGTTTTCTGCCAAGCTAGAGTTCCTCGGGAAGGGGGAGAAGGGAGTATTTTTTTTAGCCAAACATGATTTCCCGATTCTAAGAAAAATCAGTTTAAAATTCTTAGAAGAAATGCAAAGGAAAACAATGCCCATACAGGAACACACATGCACAGACACACACCCATGCCCACCCCACACACAAACAACCACACACACACATACACACACACACACACCCTGCACGCACTGGGACTTCTTTGCTGTGATGTGGCACTTGCAGCCCTGAATGTTCAGCATCAGCGAGTCACAAACACATGGATCCAGTTTTCCTTGAATGGCGCCTGGTTTAAGAAACCGAAGGAGGGGAGAGGAGGGTTTGGCAACTGGCAAGGGGAGTATTGGAGGCGCTCGCTGGCTCCAGATGCTGGTTCGACCCACCCGGCTCCTTGGGCTGCTTTTGTCTGGGGATGTGAGCAAACAAGGCTCTGTGGACTCGCCATGGGGACAAGCAAATGCCAGCCTCCATGGGGCCACAGCAGGCCACAAAAGAAAAAGAGCTGCCTGCTGGGAGCTGCAGCATGAATCCGTAGAAGTAGATAGAGCTGTGCCTCTTTTATGGCCGAGGCTGAGTGTGGCAAATACGCTAGAGTCCCGGGGCATAGTGACCCCCACCAGAGTATCCAGGGACCACCTAAGTGTCCAGTGAGAGCAAAGGGCCTTTGCACACTTTCCTCCGGCCCCTGAGTGGAAGGGTGACGATAAGCATACACGATGCAAAGGCCATCATGTTGAGAGGGAGGGGTGGGGAAGAGGAGGGTCTGGACTTATTTTTATAGAAGTAAACAGTAAGGTTCCCTCTGAGAACTTAAAGAAACAGGAATTTGCCAGCTCTCCAACTAGAAAAGAAAAAGGATCGGGTAGCAACCAGTATTTCTGGGGGGAAATGGGGAAGGGAGGCTCTCAGGACCAAACTTTTCTAAAGACAGATGGTGTAATTAGCACTGATCAGTCAGCACGGGAGCACAGAGGGGGGAGCTGAGAACGGCAAGCCACTCACCCTTCCACATACCACCTCGGGGAGAAGGGCCGTGTTCAAGGACATGGCGATGCCTGGCAGATCATAACCAGTGGCTGAATTTCTTTCTTTCTTTCTTTTTTCTTTAAGATTTATTTATGGGGCCTTCCCTGTTGCTGCAGCAGGTTAAAGCACAGCACTAAGAAGCTAGAGCCACTTTAGCATGAGTTAGATCCCTGCCCAGAGGTGACCCACATGGCGTGGCAGACCTCTCCTGACCCACCTGCTGCTCCCCTCAGCAGTGTACTTCGTCAGTCAGCCTGTTCTGCTCCCCACTCTGTCTCTGGTGAATCCTCTCACTGCCCCTGCATCTCTGGCCTGTACCCCAGTTCTGTATGCATAAATAAATAAATCTTTAAAAAAACAAGATTTATGCATATAAGAAACAGGGTACAGGCCAGAGTTGTGGGTGTTGAGAAGATTCACCAGAGACAGAGTGGGGAGCAGAACAGGCAGATCTACTGAAATACATTGCTGAGGGGAGCAGTGGGTGAGACAGGAGAGGTCTGCTGTGCCAAGTGTGTCAGCTCCCTGGCTGGGGATCAAATTCATACTGCAGTGGCTGTGGACTGCTTCATAATGATGCACTTTAACCTGTTGCACCACTAGGGAAGGCCCCAGACTGAATTTCTATACCAATGTAACCTGAGAAAGAAATTTTCTAACTTTTGTCTAAGGCTTCTGTGTTCATAGTTCAAAGCTGCAAGTCTCCTTGCAGTGAATTTTTGAATCAGCAAATAATAAGCGGGGAAAGCACACACTGTGCAGGGTGAGGAAGCGCCTTTGTGGTGTCATGGAAGCGCCCGTCCTTGAGGCCTTCAAACTTACAGAGTGAGGGTAAGGCAACCACTGTGCATGAGAGGCTTGGGGGGGGGGGGTTTTGAAAGTAGAAAGACTAAAACCTAACCTTTGTTCCCTGTATTTTAAGCTAGTGCCAGGTTCCAGAGAGTGTCCATCACTACGGTCTGTTGGTACTAAAGATGCCCTAGGTTAAGCCACCCAGAGGGAAAGGGACTCCACCCGCGGGGAGCTAAGCCCAAGGCCTGACTGTAGCTGCTTGGAGAAGCAATGATTGTTGGTTCTGGGAGTCTGGGTAGGGAGGCACCAGCCAGGGCCGGGTGCAGGACCTGTGTTCCATGACACCAGGTGCAAAGAACCAGAACAACAGGGCAAGGGGTGAGATCAGATATTGTAGTTGACTCTTTATCTACTCGGAGGGAACCTTCTACTGAATGAGATATGCTGACCTTGGCCAATGAGGCACAGACCTTAAGAAGAAGACACTGGGCTTCTGCTCGGAGAAAAGATGGAGCCATTCATCACAGTCAGTTCTCAAGCCTGGCCATAAAGCGAGAACTGAATATAACTGAAACTATACTCAAAGATCCTATAAAGTCCAGCAGGTAGAGTCGTGCTCATCCAAGACAGCTTTCCTCTGTTTTGGACCGGGCTGCCAGATGAGCACCAGCCGAGGCAGTCACAGTACGCCGAGAAGCCAAGATCGCAAACCGGCCACCGAAAAGCCACCTTCCCTTCGTGCCCCAGAATCACAATCTCCGCAGGCAGATGCTCTTGGCCGCAGGGCTCTGGCTTCCTGCAGAGGTGACCCCTCTCTGCCATGGAGTGTGCTCAGGAGACCGCTCTTTGAATGAGGCGGAACCTCCTGCCTCCCTTATATTTTTCTTTCTTATGTATAGCATTTTTAGCTGGATTCGCTTAAGTTAAATGCATATATAATGGGAAGCCACCATCAGCTGTGGGGCCCTGTAAATTAATTAAAATGGCAAATCTGGAGTTGTACAATTGAATAATTAAACTGCCCTGTCAGCAGACAGCTTCCCAGTGGGTTCTCCAAGCTGACAGGGAGGAAGCTCCGGCCTGAGGCCATGTGTGTCCATCCCCCGTAGCAACTGTATTTATTTCTGTGAATGAATAAATTGGCATTTGGTTTACTTGTTGTCTCTTGCCAACATCAGAAGTCAGCCCTGACTGGCCTTGACCAGCAAGGGCCACACCCTGGTCCTGGTGAAGTCACTACTAAGACTTGCTAGAACCAACATTTATAGGAAAAAATGTAACAGCGGCAGAATTTGGATTATGGAACGATAGGAGAATTTTTTCCATCTGTTCTCCAAAATGTTTATAATTTGCTTTTATTATTTTTTGAAGTATAGAAGGTCTTGAAAAGACAATTCCTAACCCATCCTCCAAGGTCCATTCAAATGTTGGTCATGAAACCAGCCTGACTTTTGTCTCGACGTCCCTTCTACTGCTCGTCATTCGTTGAATTGGCGTTTACTCTGCCTCTGCTGTTACCAGACCCTGTGCTGGCAAGGAGAAATCAAATGAAGGACAAGGAGAGCAGTCCTTGCCTCGGAATCCTCTCTGTGGCCAGAGAGTTGCCCTGGTTCTGAAGGAATTTCTTGCTGACCAGCTCCTCCACCCCACCCCACTCTAGGGCGGGACAAAGACAAGACTTCTGGCTCATCTTTGAGTTGGGGTAGAGAGAAGAAGGTGGGGCAAGAGAAAGAGGTGGCCACAGCGGAAGTGACCCCCAATGGTCCAAACCTTTAGGCAGTCCCCTCCTGGAGGTGCGTGGGACCTGCAACTTGCCATATCTAACAACATAGCAAAGGCGATGGGATGTCACTCCCATGGCTACAGGAGACTTTATCTTAGGACACTGGGCAGTAAGGGATCCCGCCTTAACAAAGCCCTGAGTCAAGCTGGGAGACTGGAGAAAGACCTAACGCCTGTGGGGAGCCTCTAGTCTGAGGGTGCCCTCCACCTGAGAGCCATTAAGAAACTGGAACCCCAAACAGCCACGAGGAAATCAGTCCTGTCAACAACTTGAATGAACTAAGAAGTGAAGTCTTCCTTGGCCAAGCCTTCAGATGAGAACACATCTTAGCCTGTACTTTGATTGCTGGGCCTCAAGCAGAGAACCCAACTAAGCCAGGCCTGGATTTTGACCCATCAAAGATAGTAGAAATAAATGGGTATTGTGTTGAGTCACTAAGCTTACGGTAATTTTCGATAGTTATCTATCTTTCCCAAGGCCACCCAGCACATTGCTCACAAAGTGATCTCCAGAGATTCCTCATGGCTTTCACCCCAGTGAGTACTGAAGCTTAAGATCACACCCTGTGATCCAGCCCTCTGAACATTTAATAAATGCAAACATATACCCTCATATAGAACTCAGCAACTCTGGATTAGGTGTTGTTATTCCTGTATAGAGATGAGGAAACTAAGGCTCAGAGAGTGGATAACCTGCCCTAAGTTACAAATCCAGTACTGGACACTGCTGAACAGGACTCTACCTCATTAATGTCTCTAAAGTCATCCTAAATGCATTCACCAGTCAGGGCCCCTCCTGTAGGAAGAAACCCCTGAACGCCCTGGCCCCGAGCTACCCTGGAGTCAGGTCATGTCATATGACTGCAAGTCACTCATTCTAGCCACTAAAAAGTCCACAGGATGTGACTAAAATACCTAGAGCCGCAGCCGGCTGCCCAGGAAGGCCCCGAGTTCCCACTGCCCGCGGTGCTGCGGCTGCAGCCCAGCACCCACAGCAGGAGCAGGACATCTACGGAAGCTGGGCAGCATGCTCTCTCCTCCTTGGCCTAGAGCCCTTCCAGCCAGGCACCCAGCTCCTCACCTGGACACCACCAGGGGCAGGATCAGCATCTTCAACATCCTCATCAAAAGCTCTCCAGGAAACTGGAAGTAATTAATTTCCTGCAAACACAGAGAGAGCAGGGGTGATAGCAGGCAGTGTAGACCTCACAGCTGCACACTTACTGACAGTCTTTAAAGCTCTGTTCCATCCACACTGTTCAGTCCAGCACAGGGCAGCAGAAGACACAGAGAAAGTTCTTTGGGGACCTGGATTCCAATCTTAGCACTCCAGTGCTCCCCAAGTAACTCTCCTGGCTTAAGCAAGTTACTTGACCTCTCTGAGTTTTTCTCATCTGTAAATAAGTATAATAAACACTTTGTCGGTTCATTGGGAAGGTTAAATGAGAAAAGCACTTAGCAGAATTTCTGGATAAAGGCAACACACCTCAGTAATCACACGAAGGAACAGCTCCCCTCACCTTGCACCATTCACCCAACTCTCCCCGGTGTCAGTCTGTATAATGTAGCGGATGGCAAGAGGATCTCTAGGGCAGCCTGTGTGCTGTTCACAGTTCAGGCAGCCCCACGGTGCCAGGCGTCATACTGGGTACTGAGTTAGGTGTAGAAATTAGTTAGGCACGTTTCCTGCCCTGGAGAAGTTCAGGAGACTGACTTAGAGCAGACCATGGCTTCTTGTGAGTCAGTTTCTCTTCAGTATTGGGTCCACCCTGGTTACCCCCCCCCCCAGCCCACCATCACTTTTCATCACCCTTCCTGAGGGCCTCCCATTCACAATGCCAGGAGAAAGAGGGGGTTGGGTTGGTGACACACTGCTCAGTATAAAGAGCCCTAACAGGCAGGGACTTTCATCCAGTCTCCTGATAGTCAGCTGGCTCTATGGGCCTGGGTTAGGGTGCCACAACCTTACCCAAACAGCTGTCCTTGGGGTAACCAGTCACATGATCAGAACCTGACACAGAAGGGACCACTAAACCCAGTGAAGTTTGGATCTCAGGTAAACAACTAAAAAGCATTTGTTGTTTTAAAACATAATTTAACTGTTTTTTTTTTTTTAATTTAATGTATCAAATGTTGCTATTTCTGGTAATCTTGACTTAAGGTCGCTTTCCTCCAGGGTAGGATTGTGAGTAAGGTTGGTACAAGTTCTGGCAAATACCATTCAAGTTAAATTTTTGTACTTGCAACATTTTTGAAAATCAAAGCCAAACATAACCTTTGGTTAATGGTGTCATGCTTTGAAAAGCCCTAAATCATAGAATTTTGATCTTGAGAAGGGGTTTTAAAGATCTTTTAGTCCACTGACTCATTTTATAGCTGAGACTGGTGAGCCAGGAGAGGACGGTGTCTTGCCTTCCTCATAGAGTGAATTAGCAACAACTCAGGAAATCTGATCTTCTATTCCGCTTCTACAATTTCCAATTAATCAGAAAATCTACTTTAAAAACATGTACCCATCATGGCTATGTATTTTAAATAGTTTCAATTTAGTAATATAAATAGCACTATAATGATCAAAAGGCAGCACCCCCTCTCACCCACCTAATCCCCACTCTCAGGAATGAATTTCTTCCATTTCTTAACTGCTTCTCTTAGTATTGCTATTTCTACATAATATGACAATACTACTGTTATCTTTTGAGTATCTATTAACTTCCCTATTAACCATGATAACTAAGGATTTAATTTCTGGCCCCATTTTCCTCTTCCCATAATATTTATACCAATTATTGGTTACATTAGTCATCCAGGTTTACAATATTTTGACCATGTAATATTCAGTTTTGAGCTAAGTAATACACTATAACCACAGCTCCTTTCTCCTACAACCTTCATTTTATCCCTGAAGTTAATAATTAATTCACTGATTTTTCACTTGCCTTATTGCTTGTTTCTTGGCCCTGGACTGGTTGAGAGCGATGTGGGTGAGAGACCCGGGGGGAGGAGTCTATGACTGTGTTTATATTAATTTTGATTTTGCTCTTTTCCTCCCAGACTTGGGTGGCCATTTCTGACCCTTTCTATGGGTCCCGGCCAGAAGATGCTTTAGTCTTGTGGTGGGCTTTCAGGCCTTGCTTTGGGTCAGTCCTTTGTGGGTTGACTTTTGCCCACAAGGGCATGGGTAACTTCAGGTGTTTGATTTAGACATTATATTCTTTTGACTTTGGTGTTGTATACTCACTGTATTAAAATTCCCTTTCATTAAAGTCATATATGTTTTGTCTTGATGCGGTGGATGGCAGAACCTATTTAGAGCAGGCAGGTTTGGGGGTTCAGGGGTGCCCCTCTCTCCCTGCCCTGTAACACTAGAAGTCTAGCTGCCAGCCAGTGTTCCTGCCTCCAACTTCAGCTTCACCTCTGCTGCCTACAGCATCTTGTACTTCCAAGCCCAGATCCCTTTTGGAGTATTCCAATATAATCTGACTTGGTATTTACTTCTATAGAAAAGTTTTGGCTTAATGTGGTCTTTTTTTTTTTTTTTTAAAGATTTATTTATTCATACAGAACTGGGGTACAGGCCAGAGATGCGGAGGGTGAGAGAGTTCACCAGAGACAGAGTGGGGAGCAGAACAGGCAGATCGACGAAGTACACTGCTGAGGGGAGCAGCGGGCGGGCCAGGAGAGGTCTGCCACGCCATGTGGTCACCTCCGGGGCAGGCGGGAATCGAACTCATGTGGAAGCGGCTTTAGATTCTCAGTGCTGTGCTTTAACCCGCTGCGCCACCAGGGAGGGCCTTAATGTGGTCTTTTAATGAGGTCATTCAAAGCTATCTGCTTCCCATCTTAGCTAACTTGTTACAGCCCTCAACTTCTTTTGTCTTCTACATTGGCCTTGTTTGGGGAGTTTATACTTTTTTGTTTATTTGTTTTGTTTTGTTTTTACTTACTCATTAAGCTGTTCATACTGTTTGTTTTTTAATCTCTCATTTTTAGAGTTTATACTTTTTACTAAATAATTCCATTGCTATTATTTTAGAGAAATTTCAGGAAGGAAAAGGAAAATGCATATAATCTGTAATCTTACATTTACCATGGTTTAACTGGAACTCTCAAAATAATCTATACTTTAAAATTAGATAATTCCAAAGTCTTATCAACTTTATAAGTTCTTTTTACCAAAAGGACATAATACCATTTTACTAATTGTTTATGATTTTTGCCTGTTGTGTAATATTACAAAATATGAAGGGCTTGTTTTTTGAGTCATAGGCAGAGATTAAACAACTCCTGAATTTCAAAATAAGATGCTCAAGAAAGCCAAATAATTTTCACATTCTTTCTTTAATTTATCTGGCAGGTTAATCCAGACCAGAACACATTTGCATTTCCAAACAGCTGGGGAAGGCTGTTTTGGCAAAGGGGTCCCCCAGATGAATTTGACTTTTAATAACAGGCATTTCCACTTGTTTTCACAAAATCATCTTCCTGTTATTGCTGAGGACAGTTAGAGCAGACTGTGCCATTGCCAGTTTAATTCAGTACATAGTGGAGGGTTCTCTGACTAGCACTGGGCCAGGCTCACATTTCGGCTCAAGAAAGCCCACGTGACAATCAGCAGGTTGATGGGAAAAGACACCTATACTCAGAAGCAAGTCCACCAGCAGCTGGATTACAGTGGAGGCATGAGCATGGGGTTGGCATGGGGGAAGATTATTCTTTCAGATGTGGACAGGTCTAGGAAATGGACTAGTAAATATTTCTCGGACTAGGAAATGGTTCTCGATACGGGTAGGACTTGGATAGGGAGGGATTGGAGAGAGGAGGTAAGTGACATTTACTATGCATCTGCTATAGGAATCCTTTGCTTATGCCTCACAATTCTAGGAGTCAGACTGTCTCCCACTCCATTTTTCAGATAAGAGAGATCTTCCCAGAAAGGAGGTAGGATTTTTCCCAGGGCCACAGTTATTTACTAGTAGAGTCAGAGTTCCTCTGCTTCCAGAGTTCACGTTTCTCCCTAAATTACCCATAGTGGCTTAACTGTTATTACAGTAACAGTGGGTTCAGTTCCTAAGGGGGGTATTTTCCTTGTAAATGAAAGACAAGATGTGATGCTTTGAAACCCAGTTGTGGAGATTGCATTTGACATCAGGAGCTGTGGAAGAGGAGGTTTATGGAGCAGGGAATCTTCCAAGAGTCCATGGACTGACGCCCTCCTTGACCAAACTTGAACCTGGCCACTCAGCCCTTTTTTCAAAGACTTGGGCCTTGTCTTCAGCAGGCTGGTTGTAGCATAATTCCTTGCTAAATCAGTATAGTGAGACTCCCCCAGTCTGGATATCTGGTCACTCTGTCCTGCCTTCAGAAAGAATCCTGTTATGCGGGTTTAACATGAATCTCCTTTATGTCTTAGCGATTTCTGATCTATTGAACCTTCACTCCGCTCATGAGCTAAAAATCCCAGTTATCTTTGGAGTAGAGCCTGATCTCTCGCCTCTATTGCCACTTAACACTATAGTCCCCAATAAAGTCCTTGAGACTTTAACAAGGGTCAGAGACATTTTTCCTTTACCAATGGCTGAGTGTTCTTCCCTGTCCTATGGGAGATAGGGGCTCAGAGGGAGCAAGCCCTGCCCCAGGCAAGGCATCTTCACCCTTGCAGTTACATAAGCCTGAATCCTGGGGGCCTGACTTGCCTCCCTGTCCCTCATAAGCTCCCTTTCCATGAGCCAACACATCCTGGATGCTCATCTCCTGGGAGCAGTTCTCATACCTGCCTTTTCATCTGCACTATGGTCAGGCACCCCTGCAGTTGTCTCTTCATTTAGCCCCGCCCCCCCATCACCACCACCCTGTACTTAGCGGGGGGGGGGGGGGGGGGATGTCCCCAGGCTCAGATCAGACCATACCACTTCCCTGCTCAAAGCTTTCCGAGGCTGCCCCTCACCCATGCTCAGTAGTGAGTTCTGGATGCCTGATAGCCCCTGTGCTACAGACCTGCCTCACAGCAGACATTCCAGCAGCTGCCATCATGTCCATGTCCCACCCCAATCTCTCATGCCCTGCTATTACCTGCCTGGAAGATCCATTTTCTGGCCTCTGTATGAGCTGCAGTGGGAGCAGTCCTCAGACACCCACTTCGCAGCCTCCAGGACCCGTCTGCCTGCTCCCACAGCCCTTAGCCAGGAAGAGGCACCCTGCTTCTCATTCACCTGGTGATGCCAGTTAGCAACCTCTCCTGCAGCCATCTCACTGGCTTTCCTCTGGCCCTGCAGTCTGTTTATCCGGTCTGTGTTGCAGATGCCAAGGTGGGAACCAGAGAACAAAGTGGCTCGCTCACAAAGTGGCTCCATCACCCTGGGGGGCCCGTGACGCCCGGGGAGGCTGACCTGTGGTGAGAGGTGCCGTGTCCTCAGGAAGAAGCCGAGGAGACAGCCCACGATGACAGACAGCACGGACAGGATGAGCAGTCCGTTCCGCTTGCACACATCCCTCCCTCGTGTCAGAATGGCACCCAGCACCATGGTGAGCCCGGCCTGTGGCACAGGGCACTGCACCATCCCATGCACCGAGGTGAGCAGGGGCACAAGGTCTGGAGGGGGGTCTGGCTTCTCGGCAGGCAGCTGGTTAGGGGTGCTGAGCACCAGTTGCCAGTCCTATGGCCACAGCTTGCTCGGCTGCCCCAGAGGGAAACCACAATCCTATTACCAGCTGCATCATTAAGAGCTGAGAGCAGATTAGGGCTTGGGACATTAAAGCAGGTCATGTGGTCTGGGGTTTGGGCCTGAAAGCCAAGAGTTTCTCTTAAACAAGAGAAGGGACTAAGGGCTGGTAGAAGGGTCAAAAGAACACTCATTTGGTTGCTTGATTTTTTTTTTTTTACCCATCATTCCAGAAAGAACTGATGGGAAGGGGATCTGGTACTAGCAATCACTGGCACTAATTAAGTGCTTACACTGTACCAGATGCTGCTCGAGAAGCACTTACTTTATTAGCACATTAACACCTAGGACCAACCCCAAGGGGGAAGTGCTGTGTACTCTTACTTTAGAGACAGGAAACAAACAGAGGTTGGGTAGCAAATTCTGTGGTGCCAGTCATGTTCAAGTTGCTTAGCCTACGCCAGTGACTGGGAATCCCTTGACAACTCCTGGGTTCCAATCTACATTTTACTGATGAGGAGACCAAGACTCCAGGAGCCAGAGGCCTTTGGCCAAGTAATAAAGCAAGCAGGTAGCAGAGTGGAAATCAGGCTGATGTGGCCCCATTAACAGGCCTAGGGGTTCGATGCCCTTGGCAGTGTCGGGAAGAATACAGGACTAGAACCCAGGGGACCTGACTTCCAACAGGGCCTCTGACATTCACTGTGTCCTTCAGGACAGCCCTAAGCCTCAAGCTGGGGACCTGCAGCCTCACAGGGCTCTTTGTTTTTAAAGATGACTGAGCGCAAGGGGCCTGTATTCAAGTTCTTGCTCTGTTACTTCCTAGCTGTGGCCTCGGTTTTCCATCCATAAAACAGAAATAATAGTATCTACTTCTGTCGGAGAATTTGTCCCTGATCATGGATTATTGGGAGGCAGAACAGGGTCTCAAGGTGGGAATGGCGTCGGTGAGCGGAGATTCCTAGAAAAAGGGAGAAAAGGGAAAAAAGGGGAGTGGGCGCGAGGAAGACACGGAAATGGGAGCTGGGTGCAAGTCTTCCTGCTCTGCCTTCTGCAGAGGTTTATTTTATACACTTCAGGCAGGCCAGAGGGATGACATTAGCATGTGTAATGGGCTGAGATCACAATCACCTTTTTGCTAAGAATAGTCTGGGGTCGTTTTGACTTTCAGTTGAGATTATAACATTTTTAAAATCAATCTATCAAGGTTAAAACAGGTATATTGATTCACAAAGTTTAAGACTAATATTACTATATTTACCACAGTGAAGATGAACCAAAATAAAGTCCTTAAACATTATCTATAACTTAAAGGCTTTCATTCTCATAGAGACATCCTAGGGGGTAAAGTAAAGTGAGGGGAGGAAGAGGAAATTTCTTGTAAATCAAATTAAGGTAAGGTTCTTTGAAAAACTTGTTAGAAAGTTTAAGTGAGTTTTCTTGAAGTCTAGATGGTAGGAAACCTGATTAGCTCTGAATAGGCGACTTGGGTAAATTTCCATATCCAAAGACTAGATAGTAGAAAGCTTGAGTGGTTATTTAGAAACTGAATAGAAGGCTATGTGAGATAGTAGAGTGATAAGATTTGGGTTTTCCTCAGTCCGGCAGTGAGAGAGACTTTGCAGTAACAGCCATTTGTTTTTTATTAATCAGCCAGTTGTTAAATCACTTTTGACTTCAAGAGGAATTTCTCACCCTGGTGCAGTGCTTGCTTGTCAGGGCCAGGTAACCCCTTATGAGGCTGAGGCAATCCAATTGTAAACTGAAGGTTAGTCAGAATATTTTGATATTACGATTATACAAAAAAGGGGGGTCATAACATAAGTTAGCGTGGAAAGTCTGATTTTTCAGAGCATTTCCCCTCTACCCGTACCGTGTCTGTCGATAGAGGTTGCATAGCTTGTGTCATACTTCCTTAGGGCTGGTGTGACAGACCATTCAGAATACAGTTGTGAAAATAGGGATGAGCTGTAATGGTGTGTTAAGCAGGGGAAAGGCAGTTAGTATCATCATTCCACTTGATGGTTTTTGGAGAAAGATCTTTTGTTCCTGTTGTTTTGCTGTTTCATATGTGGCCTGGCCTGTCCTGCCCTTTAAAGCCAGAGGGAATTATCTCCAGTCTGTTTCACCAGCAGCCTGTAATCTCATTAAGGGTAGTCAGGTGGCCAAAGGGAGCATGGGAGCACGGTCTGTAGAGATGGGGTGTGCATTGGGGCTGCCTCCCCTGACAAAGTGGGGGTAGAGCATGGAGAGGGCCCTACCAAGGAGCTGCAGGGGTACAGAGGAGAGCGGGTACAGGCCCTGAAGCCATGGATGGAACTGATGACTGGAAGTTTCCCCTCTATTCAGGTCCCAATTTAGCCAACTAGGTGACCTTGCTCTTTTGCCCGCCTTTGAATAAGAAAATGGAGCCAAATACTTTTTTTTTTTTTGATTTATTTATTTATGCTTACAGAACGAGGGTACAGACTAGAGGTGTGGTGGGGAGCAGACTAGAGACAGAGTGGGGAGCAGAACAGGCAGATTTGTTGACAAAGTACCCTGCTGAGGGGAGCAGTGGCAAGACAGGAGAGGTCTGCCTCGCCATGTGGGTCAGCTCCCAGGCGGGGATTGAACTCATGCTGCCTTGGCTTCAGAGAGCTTCTCAGAGTGGTGCTTTAATCTATTGTGCTACCAGGGAGAGCCTCAAGGGCCAAGTACTTTTTAAGTTCCCCTCAGTTCAACAAAACAACATTTTCAAAGGCCCTGCTGTTTGCTCTTTGCTTTGGGATGTTGGGGTGGAGTGATACAAATCTGAGATTTTTTTTCCCCTCCACCTTCAGTTCTTAAAACCAAGAGTATCAGTAGGTACCTTCAAACCCAACAAACACCTCATCCTCCAATTAACCATGTGGTTTGGTTGCTGTCTACAAGAGAAAGAGAAAACATTCTGAGTAAATATCTGGACTTGGGTTCTGATCAGTGTTCAGTCCTGACCGTTAGCCATGCCATGCAGTAAGTGAGTATTGCTTTCTACTCCAGTTCTAAGAATGACCCCCACAGTGCCCCCACAACTGTGTTCCCAATCTGACACTCCCACCACCTGCCTCCCAGACGCTAAGCTTTCTACTGTGCCCACTGTCTTCATCAGGGAAAATTCATTCACCCAGATTTTCTTATAGCGCCATCTTGTGTTGTCCCTTCCAAGTACTAGAACACAGCAGTAATTAGACACAGTACCTGCCCTCACAGAGCCTCTAAGAAAATTAAGGGACTCTAGGAATTTATACTAAAGTGTAAGTGACTGATAATGAGCTTACTAAGGATATTTGCAGATTAAATCAAAGCCTCTTGGATAAGAACCTTTTTTTTTTTTTTTTTTGGATAAGAAACTTCAAACAATGCTCCAGAAGAGTGGAATTCAGTGAACCTATGTGCATATCGATACTTATACATTCTACTCTTCACCTTCAACCTTCAGGTGAGCAAGGAAAAGAAAAGAACACTGAGTATCCCTGTTTTCCTTTTCCTTCTGTGTTATTTTCGGTATAAGTGATTGGCTAACAGAGGAAAGATACGCCAGTAAGAAAGGACAAAAATTCCCTTGGTTGTTTGCATAGCAAGTATAGCTCCTTTCTGTGTTCAAAGCAAGTTTTGCTGGAAGAAAGCCTGGTATCTTGTGCTTGTTAGTGTCCTCACTAACTCCAGCTGTAGACATAGCACTACCTTGTTCTTGCTTATTGTCTTGCCGAATTTCCACACATCGCCATGTTAATGTAAATATGGTTCTGAGCTCATAGGGCATCTACACAATGAATGAAGTGGCCGATTTTTATATTGCATGCTCTCTGCTCACATGCATGCTCCATTGTCCATCAAATATGTTTATAATACACAAGGACGCAGATAAAACTTGAATTTTTAGAGATGGTGACAGCAGAGCATCAAGACTAGTCTGAGACATACTGAGTGTGGGTTTTTGTGCACCTGCACAGGTCTGATGCCCCTGGAACCAGTCCTGTTTGTCAGACTGGCTGGGTGAGGCATTTGCAGAAGCCAGGGGGAGAGCAGAACCGAACTGTAAGGGGCACCAGGTACTCAATTGTTACCAGAACGGGCGCCATCCCTCCCTACTCAGTCCTCTCTCACCCCGAAGACACACTTCAAAAGTCATTCTCCCCTTGGCTGCTATTTGGCACCTTTATCTCCTTGTGCTGTGCAATTGCCTCCACCTTTCAACCTGCATGACTACCTGAGGACCTGCCTCTGGAGTTAACCTTCCCACTGCTTCTTGCACAACCTGTGTCCAGGCGCTCAGCACCACCGCCTCTTGCCGCTAGATACCTGTTTGCTTTGGGAAGCCGCTGAGATCAGTGGTTAGAGGAGCACAGGCCAACTGCCTGCAGAACCGTAGTGCTGAGTGACAAGCAAAGGACTGACCCTGGGCAGTTGGGACCAAGATAGCAGGCAATCAGGTTAAAGAAGCCAACAGGAAATGAGCTCAGCCTTGATTTCTGGAAAAAGTCAAGATGAGAGGGGCCTCCGTGGTGGTACAACAGGATAAAGCACTGTGAAGCTATCGGCAGCCACTGCAGCAGGAGTTCAACCCTCAGCCAGGGAGGTGACCCGCAGGGTGCAGCAGACCTCTTCTGCCCTGCCTGCTGCTTCCCTCAGCAGTGTATTTTGGTCAACCTGCCTGTCCCACTCCCCACTTTGTCTTTGGTGAATCCTCTCACCCCCCCAAACCTCTGGTCTGTACCCCAGTTCTTGTATGCATAAAGAAATCTTTAAAAAATAGTCTAGATGAGAGCAGGCCAACCCACTGGAGGCTCTGGCGAGAGAGTGGACAGTGAGAAGGACAGAGATGTAGGTTCATGTTCTGACTTTGAGAGGCTCTCAGGAAAGCCACTGGATTTCTCAGAACCTTCGTTTCCTTAACTCAAATATTACTCCTTACTTCATGAGGGCATCATGAGGTCATGAGACAGGCATGCCAACCATGTGGTGGAGGACATGGACTTTGGTTTCAGACAGACCTGGCTTTAAATCCTAGCCCCACCAG